AGATGCTTCTAGCTAAAAGAATTTCAGACTGGCCGCCAGGACTGTCAGGAAACATCCTTCAAAATAACAGTCTTCTAGCTACTCAATTTCCCGAGTTAGCAACATACCCGGAAGAAACTTTCAAGGCCCCGTACGTAGGTATCATGCTTGCCCGCGGGCAGGGCTTGAACTCATTAATACCCATTCGGACAGGGAACATCCCCCTAAGATTTCAGCGATTTAGCTTCTCAGATCCCCGAGTTATGAACTTACCGCAAGAAAACTTTGGCGGGCCCGTACGCGGGTACCACACGGGTGCCGGTGCCCATTTTGGGGATTGGGGCTGGCACGTGCACGTAGATTATGTTCCCGAAATTTCAGCCTCACAGCTTTTACAGGTCTTGAGATGAAAGTGCGTGACAGACGCACTCACAGAGACACAGACACACGGACACACAGACACACAGACAACCTCTCGTCAATACGCGTTTTCTGCATTGCATAGCTGCAAAAAACGCATAAAAATTATCATTAATCTAACTGACTGAGTGTGTTGCAGAATTACACGTATTTGATCAGAGAGATGAAAAGATTGCGAACAGACACAGCGGTCCTGCGGTTTGAGCATCTGCAACTCGCAAACAAATTTGTGCAAGCTTCAGTGGCACATGGTGGTCCAAGCCAAAGCCTACAAGATGAATTCTTGCGTAAAAATAAGGAATTATCTGAGAGAAGATATAAAACAAAGGCGGATTACGAGACGGCACGGAATGTTTGTCGTAACTTACGCATGGAGACAACGCCAATGACAAAAACAACAACGGCACATGGTGTTATCGCAAAAATTCGATCGGCTCTGAGACCATTTGCACGAATTTGACGATCGCCAATGACGTGATGTTACTGAAAACCGGCAGCGCGGATCGTGGCTGGCAGTGGTTCCACATTCATCCTACGTGATTTTTTCGTAATAGTTAGTAAATCTTGTGACTGTGAGGTGTTATAGTGGAAAAAGGAAGTGATTTTCAGAAAAATGTCGAGACCAAAGACCTAAAACCTGGACAACCCTTATCTACGTATATTGTTCTCATCGATAGCGCTTGCGCAGACAGATTAACTTTCAAAAATTGGTCGTATTAATTTTCACATTCGAAAGTAGGCAGTCCAAGGATAGACCAAAGATCAAGAATAAGACGAAGACAGGTCTACGGCAGTTTAAAGATAGATCGGAAACGTCCTATTTCCTGCGCATGCAGGATCCACATAACTCTAAGTCGGTGTAAAAGTGAATTTCATTATCACAATGGCAGCTTCTTCAATATTTTGCTATACTGCGCTCTCGCACAAAGATGTCAAGAGGAAAAGCCGCAAATACGTTTGTTTTAAAGATTACAGATTTGATACTATTCGGCAAATTTGCAAATCTGCTTATCTAACTAAAATCTGCTTATTTCTGTACACACATACAAGTCAGTGACAAAAACTGTTTCAATATAATAAAGCACGAACTGTCACATGCAAGCGCCAAGAGGACTACAGCTGCTGATAAAGCAACTAAGGTAGTCTAGTGTGCCTCAGTATTAAATCATAGCCTCAATTAGGACCACAAAAAAAAAGAAAAACATGAATCCAGTGAGAAAGACGCACATCCCCTCACCTTGGCTAAGACTGCGAGTGCAGTTCAAAAAGGGAAATTGAGAAAAGTGTATCTAAGTCGCTAAATAAGCAGAACATCAAACATTTAAATGGCGTTCTCAACCACACGAATTGGCACCACCACAATCCTCCTCTTACACAACAGCAAACAGAGCACAGTTCACACCAGTGAGCTGGCGTGTTTTGCAATAAATTGTCCCGGGCAAATGGTGGCTAAA